TAACCCTGCGTGACTCCTAATAACCCCACACAGCCCTTATAACCCCATATAACCCCATATAGCCCCATACAACCCCCAGTAATTCCATACGGTCCCTATAACCCCACAGGGGCCCTATAGACCCACAGGGGCCCCGTAGACCCACAGGGATCCTACAACCCGCCCCCCCCCCCCGCCCTATAGGAGACTCCACACCATATGGGACACCGGCTTGTATGGGTATAGGGGTCCATATAACGGGTCTATAGGGCGGTTCTGACGTATGGCAGGAAGCCAGGCCCTATAAGTGACCCCATATAGGGACACTGAACAGGGGTCGGGTCTATAGGGAATCCCAGCGCCTATAAGGTGGGGGTGGGGGTGTCATAGGGGGCCCTATAGGCGCTATATGGACTGGGACACATGGAAGGGCTATAGGGACTATAGAGGAGGTCACGTGGGCACCGCTCCCCTATAGCGAGTGGCTATACGGGGAAAGGGGGCGTGTCTTACGGGGGTCACGTGCGTCAGGTCATATAGGGGTACTTACGTCGTCCCCCGGCAATCCCCCCCCCTCCCCCTCCCCCCGCTCACCGCTCTGCGACTGCCGCTGCCCCCCGGGTCCCGGTCCGGCCCGGCCCGCTAGCCCCGCCCCTTATTGCTCCGCCTCCGAACCGCCCACTTATCGGAAAGCGTGAATCTGATTGGCTCGCCTCCCCCGAGCTCGCTTTTCTATTGGTCCGGATGAACGTCGCTCCTTGGAGAAGGACACGCCTTCCCCGCTTGCCGGTGATTGGCTGAAGGCGGAGCCAATGGGGGCCGGGCCCGCGTGACTCATTCTTGCGGCGGGACGGGCGGTCACGTGACTTCAATGTCTCCGCCCCTTCCCCCCTGGGACCTCTGGGGGCGGGACCTCCCAGCCGGAAGGGGGCGCTCTACAAGCGAGAGCGTCTGCGCGACGCTCTACACTCCTCGGGGGGCGCTCTATGGCCTCTGCCTCCTCCGGAAGAGCTCCTGTAGCATCACGCATGTAGAAAACACACGCGTCCCCTATGCGGAGCGCTTTACAGCTCGCACTCACTTATATTGAACAGCTTATAGCTGCGTTCTCCTGGTGGAAAATCCTCTCAGCTCTCTGCAGGGCCGTAGAGCCATCATGTACCCCATAGAAGAAAAAAAAAACAAAAAGCGTAGGCAACTAAAGCGCTTCGAAGTGCTGCTTCATCCACAGAGAGGCCAACGGGCCCCCTGCGGCCCTCCCTACAGCACGTAGCCCTGCAGGATCCCACCGCCATTGGAGCGTGCGGCCTGCCGAACTACATCTCCCATCAACCCCCGCGCGCGGGGCGCCATGGCAACGCCATGCAGGGCGGGGCGGGTCACGTGAAGAGGCGCGGTTTTGTTTCTGCGCATGCGCAGCGCGGCCGAGAGGCGGGTGGGTGGGGCCGCGCATGCGCGGCGGGTCTCTGCGCACGGCGCGGAGGTTTGGCGCATGCGCAGTGGCTGCGCGCCGCCGCCCCGCCCCACCCCCGGCCGCAGTCGTTGAGTGGCCGCCGTCGCGGACGGACGCTCCGCGCTGAGGCTCCGACGCCGCCGCCATGGCCGACCCTGCCGCTCAATCCCCGTTCGTCTCCTCCTCCTCGGCTCCTTCCGAGCCAACCGGGTCGGCCTGCAGGAGGCACGGAACCCCGGCTTGTGCCGGTAAGAGGCGGGATGAAGGGAGGCAAAGGGGAACGGGCCCGGCTGGGCCTTTGTGAGGCCTGCATCTGTGGAGTCTGGGGGAAGAAATGTGGGATTTTGGGGGTGTGAAGATGGGATTTTGTGGGGTGGGTGAGGAGAGCGAGGCCTCTGGAGGTGTGAAAGTGGGGTTTGGGGGCTCGGATGTGGGGTTTGGGGGTTAAAAGGTGGGATTTTGGGGTGTGGGTGAGGAGAATTGCGGCCTTAAGGCTGAAATTAAAGAGACAGTTGGATATAAATGGGGTTTGGAGGGCATAAATGTGGGATTTTGGGGTTAAAATGTGGGATTTTGGGGGTAGGTGAGGAGAATTGCAGCCTTAAGGCTGAAATTAAAGAGACAGTTGGATGTCAATGGGTTTTGGAGGGCATAAATGTGGGATTTTGGGGTTAAATTGTGGGATTTGGGGGCGTGGATAAGGAGAATTGTGGCCTTAAGGCTCAAATAAAAGGGACAGGTGGACATCAATGGGTTTTGGAGGGCATAAATGTGGGATTTTGGGGTTAAAATGTGGGGATTTTGGGGGTAGGTGAGGAGAATTGCGGCCTTAAGGCTGAAACTGAGGAGACAGGTGGACATCAGTGGGGTTTGGAGGGCATAAATGTGGGATTTGGGGTTAAAATGTGGGATTTTGGGGCGTGGATAAGGAGAATTGTGGCCTTAAGGCTGAAATAAAAGGGACAGGTGGGCATCAATGGGGTTGGGAGGGCATAAATGTGGGATTTTGGGGGGTAGATTAGGAGAATTGCAGTCTTAAGGCTGAAATGAAAGAGACAGGTGGACATCAGTGGGGTTTGGAGGGCATAAATGTGGGATTTTGGGGTTAAATTGTGGGATTTTGGGGCGTGGATAAGGAGAATTGCGGCCTTAAGGCTCAAATAAAAGGGACAGGTGGATGTAAATGGGTTTTGGAGGGCATAAATGTGGGATTTTGGGGTGTGGGTAGAGAGAATGAGGCCTTTGGTGGCTCAGATGTGGGAACCTGGGGCTCATATGTGGAAATCTGGGGCACAGATGTGAGATTTAGGGCAAAAAGTGGGGATTTGGGGCAAGGAAAAAGGGGATTTTGGGGT